ATTATGAAAAGACTGCGCATTTCAATAGCTGTTTCACAATGAAAGTAAGTAGTTTCACAGACACTGTGCGCACTGATTGTGTGGAAGGAACAGCTGACAATTGGCGGTCCTCATTTCTACAACCCACCTTTTTAGCTTATTGAAATGGGGGGAGGTGCATCAATGAGTGCATTGTAGTTAACTGTCTCCGCCCATGCCATACCATCAGTGCAAACTCTTCGCTGGGAAAATGTGATCAGTTACACTCCAGTTTTCTTAACCGCTGCAAGTCTGATGAAATGGTTTCAGAAGTCATGCCGTTTTGCCGGCGGTGGATGCCATTGTATCGTTCGTTTGCGCGGAGAGTGCTGCTGCAAAGGTCACGAAGTCACGGCTCTACCGTCAAACCTCACGACAACCATCAGAGTTTTGTGGGTTTGTTTGATTCCTGAAAGTTTTTCAGGTCTTGTTAGATAGGCTTACGGGTAGCGTAGGAGGGAGTCTGGGGACCCCTATTCCGACATAAGGATCGCTCTGGCAAGAGTTCTGATCTAAATATAAAGTTATCTTGCTATCACTTGATCCCCGTGTGGGGAAGGTCATCCAAGGGTCTTATCTCTTGAAGCAGAACACGGCTGAACAAACGCAGATTCTCTAAACCCTCATTATCTTCCGTACTTAGCATATGGGCGGAGCCGCGCGCACTGCTACATTTTTCTCATTGCTGAACTTACCTTCTTTGACGGCAAAAAAGCTATGAGCCAGCACTACCAAACGATTCACACCACCCTTTTGATAGTGAGCGCATGAAACGGGAAAAAATGACCATATGTTCTCAATCAAAATCACACGAAATGAAATCATAGAAAGCGGCAAATGCAAAAAATTTTCTTCCCCCAAGCTGAGATGCGAGACCCTTTGACCAAATACGATTTTTCTCCCTATTAACCATGAAAGACCACTTGAGTTTCGCCCAACGATGTTGTGCCCATTATGGAGTATGCCCATTATGGAGTATGCCACTGTTGACCAGGAAACTTCACAGATGCCGATCCTCAAGCCTGCAACACTTATGAGAAGCGCAATGTTGCAACCGAACCTGTCAAGCACTCTTTCTTTTTGACGGGGATGATGGCTGTATATGGCAAATATCGGTCTTTTCGCTATTCTCAACGATGCTCTTTCAAAGGAGAGATCAGCTAGATTAAAGGCAGTTGGCACGATAAATCCCCCAAGATGACTAGGATCAATACTCCTGGCAGGATAGAATTCCGCGACCGTGGGCAGGCGCTGCATAGCGTTCCGGCAGAAAGTGCTTATAAGGCCCATATCGACCGCACATTAGGATGTCCAAATGCCCGCCAAGTCGCCCTGCCCGCCCACAAATGGGACGTACCGTTCTAGAACGCTCGTACTGCATTCCATGTTGCTAAGCAATATGTGAAGGCGATGAAAGGAAGTGAATAATTGACGAAGCGGCCGTGATACTGCATGCATACATGGGTACACATATGCAGCCATATCTTCGGGAGAGCGGTGATTGGTGAAATGCCTACGGGAAACTCGTCCGAAATCGACTTACAAGTCACTGAACTGGAGGCTTTTCTTCGCAGGATTTTGACCGTTTCACTCCGTTCTTTCGCCATTTCCCCACTATACAGCGCCCTACTAGCATTTTAGGCTAAGTAGGAAACCATCGTGCCAACTGCCTTTAAGGGGAAAATGTAGCTGATCTTGTACAGGACCCCTGTGGTCGCAATCGAATTGCTGATTATTCGCTGACTAGATCACATACGATTCTCTTCAGCAGTGATCCTTTTCAGGGTGATGTTCAATGTAAGTATTACAACCATCAATTCGTCGTTCTTCAGTCAATACGGAAATCTGGAAGAAATGTAAGCCATTTCGAAAAAATATCTTTTAACTTGACTGTTCCTGATCATTCGAGATAAATTATCTTAGAAGTCCAAGGATTCTGAGACGCTTTATGCTACAATATTCTCACCAATCCCATTTTTGACATTCTTTTGAAATCATAGCTGATTTTACGAAAGGTAAGGTAAGGTTGTCTAACGGCGTCGGACTATCGCTACAAGTCTCTTGAACAGTAGTGAGTGTGAAGGTACATTCCTGGTCGGGTGGAGGAAGTAGGACTGTAGCGACTTCACTGGTGTGCTTCACCTCTTTGCTATCTTGAATCCTGGGGCTGACCAAAAAAAGAGCGCGGCGGTCAAATAACCCTACCTACGCAATCAGCGTGGAAAGTGTTCTGAATAGGAGTGAGTAGGCGTACGTAGGCCGTACTAGTGCAGCTTTCTTGGAACGAGCACAGCACTGAATTCGCACATACTTAGCTATTCTTCACAGCGGCGTTGTGAAATAGCTCGGCTCGTGGTGGGCAAGCTTTCCGATCTCCCAGGGTGACTACAAAGATTCCATTCGAGTTACTGAACACCAAATAGAGATAAGAACTGTGCCTGATGTTAGAAAGGCTAT